TTAACTCCAGTATAAAAATTACAAAATAAAACTATTAAAATGAAGACAGCTAAAATAACTTGTTAATGGATACACAATACAAAAAGTTGTAAAGTGTAACATTCCATCTACCCTAATTTTGTCCCAAGTGTTTGCCCACACCCAGGGAGGAGGGACCACCCTTCCAACCTACCAGTCAGAACTTAGGGTGCCAAGTGCAAATATATGTAGAAGACTCTAGCCTAGCAACAGGTACAACAGAGTCTTTAAGGTGACCTCGCACAACCTAAGACTTATCACGTGGTTCACACCCCCCATAGGTTCTCAGAGAGTCTCATGGGAGGTCTGCATGTGCAGTGAGGCTGATGATTCCAAGTGACCTCAGAACCACAGGGTGGCCACCCCAGGTGGTATAAAAGAGAACTACTGGCCATAAGCCAGTCTCTTTGCTTGTCTACTTGTCCTGGTGATAGAGGTCCATTTGCTACTATGGTGATTGTACCCTGCTTTGTAAACTGTCTTACTCTGTAAGCCTATCTGCCTCTTCTTTGATAAAATTAAAAAGAGCAAAGAACTACTTGCTCAAGTGAGAGAAAAATCTCAATAAATTCTAGTGGGGGTGGGGGTGAAGGGGTTGGGTAAATTCCCACCCAATCAGTACACTTGGGTATACTGCAACATCCTGGGTGAAGGACACAACTACAACCCAGCAAAACTATGTAAGCTGATAGTATGTACCCCATATTAATCTGAACTTCAAAAAACATTTGAAGACTCAATTTAACAAAGGAAGTGGAAGATCTGTTGCATAAACTTTGACATGAGTAAATGTAATGAAAAAAGACTGAAATAAATGAAAAGATCCATTATTCATACATTTAAATAATTAATATGACCATAGTCTACAAAGCAATCTATAATCTCCATACAATTCCTATTAAAATTACAATGGCATTTTTCCCCAAAACAGTGAAGAATTCAAAATTTGCTATAAAATCACAAATGACCCCAAATCTCCAAGAAAATCTCGACAGAACAAAGCTGGAGTTTTCACCCTTCTTGATTTCAAATTACTACAAAGCTATGCTAACCATGAGTATGGTACTGACAGATAAATAGACTGATGGAAAAGAATAGAAAAAACAGAAATAAGCCTGGTAGTATATGACTAGTTTTTGACAAGGACACAAAGATATGTGAGGGAAAAAGTACAAACTCATCAATAAATGGTAATAAAAAACGGCCATCCCTGTGCAAAAGAATATAACTGAACTTTCATACTGTATACAGAAATAAACTGGAAATAGATTAACATTTAATGTAATACCAGAACTATATAACTTCTATGAGAAAGCATATGGAATTCTCTCTTCAACATTAGCTGTTGTAATGATGTTTTTCTCATGCTAAAAAAATACAACCAAAAACACCAAAAGCAAAAAACAAGTAAGACTATATTGGCTTGGTCCCTGTGGCACAGTGGTGACGGCACCAGCCATATACACTGAGGGAGCTGGGTTTGAACCTGGCCCAGGCAAGGTAAACAACAATGACAACTGCAACAAAAAATAGCTGGGCGTTGTGGCAGGGGACTGTAGTCCCAGCTACCTGGGGTGGGGTGGAGTGGGGGCACAAAAGAATTGCTTAGGCCCAAGAGTTTGAGGTTGCTGTGACCTATAATGATATGGCACTCTACCAAGGGTGGCATAGTGAGACTCTGTCTCAGAAAAAAACAAACAAAGACTGTATCAAAAGTTTCTGCATAGAGAAGGAAATTTAAAAAAACATAAGTGAGCAAACAAAAGATTGGGAAAAAATATATTTGATGAATATAATATTCCTAATACAGAAGGACCTAAAGCAGCAACAACAAAAAAGGTAAATCTAACTAAAATGTGCAAAAAACTCAGTAGATATTTCTCCAAAGATATAAAAGTCGAAAATAGGTTTATAAAAAGATACTCAGCACCCATTATTCATCAGGAAAATGCAAGTCAAATCACAATGACATATCACTTAACTGTTAAAATGACTTAAAGTCAAGGATTAATAAATGTTCACAAAGGTGAGGAGAAAAGAAAAATCTTGTACAGTCAGTGGGAATGTGAATTCATCCAGGTGCTATAGAAAACTGTATGGAGGCTTCTCAAATACATATTTTTGAGACAGTCTCACTTTGTCACCCTCAGTAGAATGTTGTGGCATCATAGCTCATGGCAACCTCAAACACTTGGGTTCAAGCAATCCTCTTGCTCCAGCCTCCCAAGTAGTTGGGATTACAGGTGCCTGCCAGAATGTATAGCTATTTTTGGAGACTGAGTCTCACTCTAGCTCATGCTGGTCTCGAACTACTCAGCTCAGGCAATGTACCCACCTCTACTTCCCAGAAGGCTAGGATTACAGGCTTGAGCCACCGCACCCAGCCAGGCTTCTCAAATATGAAAAACAGAAGAGCCATAAAAATCCATCAATTTCACTTCTGGGTGTGTACCCAAAGGAAATGAAATCAGGGACACAAAGAGATATCTCCTCTCATGTATTTATAGAAGATTATTCACATTATGTAATACTGTTCTGCCACACAAAAAAGAATAATCCTGTCATTTGTGGCAACATGAATGGTTCAATCAGGGGAAAATTATGATAACTGTAATAAAATAAATAGATACAATTACTGTATAATAGGAACTATTTGTGGAACCTAAAAAATTAGAGACCATAGAATAGAGAATATAGAGTGGTCGGCACCTACTGGAGGGGGTGATCAAAATGGGGAGATATTTGTCACACAGGATAAACTTTCATCTGTAACATGAACAAATTCAGAAGACATAATGTATAGCATTGTGAATGTGATTAACACTGCCTTCTGGGACACCTGAGATTAAGTCATCCTCTCAACTAGATTAAGAGAGAAGACCTTCAGGGCTCTCCCATCAAAATCTGGCAACTATGTGAGATGATGGATGTGTTAATAAGTTCATTGTGTTAATCACCACACAACACGTATGTATATCAAATTATTAAGCGGTACACCTCAAAAACATAAAATTTATACTTGTAAAACCTTCATGTCAGAAAAAAGAACGAACAACAAGGAAACATAGAGGACACATGCTCAGTGATCCGCATACTTACCCAAACAAAATCATAAAATGATAATTACTAAACATAACAGTCAAAACGTTACTATGTGCTGGACAATGTTCTAACCTCCTCCAAGATCACTTTAAGTTAAATTTCACATGAAATTATTTTACACATGTGGAAATTGTACATATACGATTTAAATTTTTATTTTCTTTCTTTCTTTTTATTTTTTTTGAGACAGAGTCTCAAGCTGTTGCCCTGGGCAGAGTGCCATGGTGTCATAGCTCACAGCAACCTCAAACTCTTGGGCTTAAGTGATTCTCTTGCCTCAGCCTCACAGTAGCTGCAATTACAGGCACCCACCACAACGCCAGGCTATTTTTTGGTTGTAGTTCTCACTGCTTTTTGGCAGGCCTGGGCTGGATTCGAACTCGCCAGCCTCAGTGTATGTGCCTGGCGCCCTAGCTGCTTGAGCTATAGAAGCCAAGCCTCATTTTTTATAGTCTTAAGGAGAATTACTTCTCAGATAATTTAAGAGCATGAGAAAGAAGACAACCTGGGTGGCACCCGTAGCTCACTGGGCAGGGTGTCGGCCACTTCCACCGAGACTGGTGGGTTTGAACTTGGCCTTGGCCACCTAAAACAATGACAACTGCACCAAAATATATAGCTCGGTGCCTGTAGTCCCAGCCACTTGGGAGGCTGAGGAAAGAGAATGGCTTAAGAGCCTCAGGTTGCTATGAACTATGACACCATAGCACTCCACCCAGGGCGACAGTTTGAGACTCTATCTCAAGAGAAAAAAAGAAAGAAAGAAAGAAAAGAAAGAAAGGAAAGGAAGGAAAGAAAGAAGACATCCTTCTAAGACAACAAGGAGAAACAATCCCAGGCTTCTCAAAAATTACTTTCATTATGCCAGAGTTTCTAAAGCCATACTTTAAAGTCTGGCTTCCTCCCTGATCTTTGATCTGTGACCTGTGCCACCTGCTTCATTCACTTCCTCCTACTGGGTGTACGGCTATTGTTTCCTCTCTCTTTACATTTGTTTCCAAAAGTGACCAAGTCTAGTTTATCAATTTCATTAGAAAAAGACACATGAGGATTGGCGTCCCTAGCACGGTGGGTATAGCTGCGGCCACATGCACAGAGGCTGGTGGGTTGGAATCCAGCCTGGGCCTGCTAAACAACAATGACAACTGCAACAAACAAGTAGCCTGACGCTGTAGTGGCCCGGGTAGTCCCAGCTACTTGGGAGGCTGAGGCAAGAGAATTGCTTAAGCCCAAGAGTTTGAGGTTGCTGTGAGCTGTAACACCATAGCACTCTACCAAGGGTGACAAAGTGAGACTTTGTCCCCAAAAACAAAAGAAAAAAAACAGAGGGAAATGAATTTTCCTTGGGATTAATCAGTTCTCAACTTTGTATTGTACTCAGTAGAGGGAAAAATGACAGAAGAGTCTAAAAAATTACTTTCCAGATTACCAATTTGATAGCCCCTATATTTAAAATGTATTCTTAGGTATTTAAGTACTTAGTATGGTACTCAGTAGAAAAAAGTGAATGGAAGATTCTAAAAATTATTTTCCAATTACTATTTTCTGACAGCCTCTGAAGAATATTTAATAAGAAACATTTTAGATGTGTGGATACTGCGCTTCACCTTCAAATGTGACTAAATTGAAAATAAATAAGAGGAACTGGATTATAAGGTATAGAAAAAAAGTGTATGTATCACTGAACTTCTAGAATCACCACTAAACTAGAGTGAAACTGGCAAATCATCTCAACAAAGAAGGGAAATAATTAGGTCAAAGGAAATTTTTTTGTGTCCATTAACAAACCCCAACCTTTCTCCCTGACATCAGGAATCAAAGATTCATTCATACAAAGTGCAAGCTTTAAAGACACATTCAGCAAAGGCAGGAAAGAAAACCCATGAGGTAAATTAGATATTCTGGAGATAAAGTATTCTCACCCACGGAGACCAGGTTTCTGTAGTTCTCTAACATCACATCCCTATACAAATTGCGCTGAGCAGGGTCCAAGCATTCCCACTCTTCTGGAGTAAATTCTATGGTGACATCCCTGAATGTCAACCGTCCCTGAAATAAAAATGAATAACTATATTACACATTGACCATGAGGCCAGGAGCAGAGTTTTTAGGATCCAGGTATTCCCATTCCTCCAGAGAGAATTATGTGCTCATATAACTACACATCAATAATCCCTGAATAAATGAATAAAATGTACAGAGCTCTAAATTGGACCCCAGATAAAATACGGGGGTTAAGACCAGGCCTGGTAGCTAATGTCTAAAATCCTAGGTCTCTGGAAGGTGAAGGCAGGTAGATTGCTTGAGCTCAGGATTTCGAGACCAGTTTTAGCAAGAGCAAGATCCCATCTCTAAAAAAACAGTCAGCCATTGTGGCAGGCACTTGTAGACCCAGCTACTTGGGAAGCTGATGCAAGAGAATCACGTGAGCCCAATAGTTTGAGGTTGTTGTGAGCTGTGAGTTGTGATGCCATGGCACTTTACCAAGGGTGACAACCTGAGACTCTGTCTCAAAAAAAGAAAAAAAAAAAAAAAGAATCAGTTGTGTCTATTCCTCAGATAGAAAAGTTATGGTAAGTCAGAAGTACATTTCTCACTTTGTGTGCCTGTGTGTGTTCAACAATTATAATGCAGATTGATTCAGGAGAGCTGAGTGAGGCTGAGATTCTCTGTTGCTAAGGAACTCAGCTGTGACGCTGAAGCATCAGTTCTAAAAGCCACACTTTTGAACAGCAGAGAAGGAGTACACTGAGGGACGAATTCATGGATAACATGGAATTGAGAACTTTCTAAATACAAAGATTATAACACAATAGCATGAATAGAGCAATCCTTTTTTTTTTTTTTTTTTTTTTTTTTTTGAGACAACTTAGTCTCACTAAGTTGCCCTCGGTAGAGTGTCATGGTGTTAGAGCTCACAGC